CAACCAAAAACTAAAAGAGAAAAAAACGTCATCAGTTTTTTATCCTCTTTATCAAGAATGTTGTTTGCATTACGATGGGAACATGATCAATTCATTCAGGGACACTTTCTTTGCTTTTTATTTATATAGTGACACTTTATTTTCTGGGTACACTTTGCCTTGTTTTTGTGATTTAGTCTCACTAAAATACCCCAAATATAACAACAACCAGCTGAGTATTTCACTGTTTGATCGTGGCCATTGGTTTCACTTTTTGTTTAATGAAAATGTGTTGTTAAGATTGTAAGATTCGAAAAAAGGATTGATTGTTTCATGGCCGTTTGATTTACTTTTCGTTTAATGAAAATGTGCGGTTCACATTGTAAGATTCAAGATAAAGATTGATTGTTTTAAGGCCGTGTGATTGTTTTATGGTAGTGTGTTACAGCATCCACTCTAGTTTGTCCACATAAACGCGCACATTGCCAAATTTTAATCGCAAGTTTTTGAAACATTAATCTTTACAGACATATTTAATTGGGAAATTGTTAATTTTGAACAATAATAAACAATCTATATATATAATAGAAGAGTTTTCTCTCCATCTAATGTGTCCACCTAAGCCAAAGTTTTTTTAACAATAAATTTTATTTTAAATCTTTAATTAATTATGTTTATGTATATTAATTGTTACTTATAACTATTAAAATTTGCATTAAATTAAAAACGAAAAAATAAGTAAATAAATAATTTAAAAATCATACATATATACAAGAATATTGGAGTATTTTATTTTTGTAAATATTAAATTACAACATGAAATATATTCATTTATATTGTATTGTATTTAAGAGTAGTATAAATATTCTGAGTTTATCATAAAGATAGACTTTTCCATATTTTGATTTCAAAATTGGAAATATGAAAATGTATACAAATATACAAATGAATAAAAATGCAGATAAACGACATGAGAGAATCAAAGAAAAAATTAAATAATATTAATTACTTAAAAATCGTAATTGTGTATCAAGCAACTGTTAAGAGAGTGAAAATCTAAAGAGAAAGAAGATATTTTATTTCAACAAAGATAATAAGAGTAGAAAATAAGGCGAAATTTGGGAATCTATGATTTATGCAAAATATTATATTTAATTTCTCGAAATATAAAAGAAAATTCTGATTAATAAAGCAGTCAGCAGTTAAACAAAACTAAGAAAACTATATATATATAGATAACAAAGTTTCAAAGAAACATATTTATTTTCAAATAGGAACTAGCGTATCGATATTAAAATGATTGAGCATCACTTCATATTTTCATACAACATAAATAAGAGAAACAATTAATTCAATCTCAATTCAAAACAAATATTATTTTATAGCTATAAATATGGTAGTTTTGTCATTTATGAATATAAAAATACTAGATTAATTAACAAAATTCTAGTATAATGCTTGTGTTTCCGTTCACGTCTGTCACAACTTATAGAAACACACCTGCACTTGTGTCCACAAAACTCTATCCACGAAAACGAATATTCATTGCCATAGAAATCAAACAAAAATGATGCCAAAAACATAAAAAAAAAACATGAATGTGCTCTAACATTCCTACATACTTTGAGGCTGGTGTTATTCGTTGAGATTGATCATCCACCAAAGACCGTCCACAATCGTACTTCACGATGGAAACATATCTATAACACCAGTAACATATAAACAGATCTAGTGACCACATTGAAAGAAAATCGTAAACAATCTCGGAACCCATACCTCAATGCACAAACCCGATTCAAAAAGGAAAATATATCGAAGCGACCATAAATCTATAACACAAACTCATACCCCCAATTCGGAACATGATTTACCTGCCATAATGATTATGATGTCGACTAAGTTAAAACGACCAGACTAATCAGTGGCGTCAAGTGACTGGAGA